CACCGCCTGCAGTGTGGGCATCCCATATGGGTACCAGTTCAATTCCTGGCTGTTCCACTTCCAATCCAGCTCTATGCTATGGCCTGGCAAAGCAGTACAAGATGGCCAAAGTCCTTGGGCCTCTGCACCTGCATCAGAGGCCCGGAAGAAGCTCCTGGCTCCTGGCTTCAGATTGGTGCAGCTCTGGCAGTTACGGCAAGTTGGGGAGTGAACCAACGGGTACCTCTCTCTCTCTCTCTCTCTCTCTGCCTCTCCTTCTCTCTCTGTGTAACTCTGACTTTCAAATAAATAATAATAATAATAATAGAAGTAGTACAGCCAGTGCTCCAATATGTGAGGCCAAGATATCAGGTGGCAGCTTATCCTGCTGCACCCCATCACCAGGCCACTGTTGTGAAGTTTCTGACACTTCTTGTGCTTGACTATTTTTGGTGTTCTGTAGTAAGCAAAGTTCTTCAAATTAAATTTGTTGAACTTATTGTTATTCCTTTTAATCGATAAATGCCCGTGGTCTTGTCCAACTGGCATTGTTATATGGTAACAGAGAAATGTAAACCTTTGTAAAACTTTCTTAGTTTTTGGAAACCAACAAAGCCTGAATTTTCCAAGTGTTAATACACTGAGCCTCACCTTATTCACCTGTGTGGAGATATAGTCCAAGCTAAAGAGCACAGTCAATAAAGAAATGGAGAAATCCCTATGTTCTTAAAGTTGTACTTATGAAATGCATTTAGTGTATATTCCTTAAATAAAAGGTTTCTTTGGGGCAGGGAATAAATAAAAAATAAATAAATAAAAAAGAAATGGAGTTTAGAAAGCATTTTATTTTCCTAATTTTCTATTTGTGGCAATTCCTGGCCAGTGCCGTGGCTAATAGGCTAATCCTCCGCCTGCAGCCCCGCCACACTGGGTAATAGTCCCGGTCGGGGCACCGGATTCTGTCCCGGTTGCCCCTCTTCCAGTCCAGCTCTCTGCTGTGGCCCAGGAGTGCAGTGGAGGATGGCCCAAGTGCTTGGGCCCTGCACCCACATGGGAGACCAGGAGAAGCACCTGGCTCCTGGCTTTGAATCAGCGCGGTGTGCCGGCCGCAGCGCGCTGGCTGCAGCAGCCATTGGGGAGTGAACCAACGGAAAAGGAGGACATTTCTCTCGGTCTCTCTCTCTCACTGTCCACTCTGCCTGTCAAAAAAAAAAAAAAAAGAAATTTCAGCTCCTGCTCGATATGTCTGTAGCAACTGCTAGGGTCAGATTTTCAAGATACACATGTTAGAAGAAAATCATGATTTGGGGTTTCCAAAACTGAGATGCAGGGAAGACTGAGTAGTAGTAGTCATTCTCTTTCTTTCTAACCACCTTGCCTTGGGACTTCCATTCCATATTTTTTAAAAATTAACAATTGGTGGACAAAGAGATTGTGATATATATGTACAATGGGATGTTATTCAGCAATAAAAAGAATGAAGTTATATCATTTGCAGCAAAATGACTGGAACTGGAGGACATCATGTTGAGTGAAATAAGCCAGACACAGAACAACCTAATATGTGGGAGTTTAAATAAAAAACAAACAAACAAGGGAAAGAAATGCCTGAGTATAGAAGTTTTGGCGCGAATACAGCATTTTGTTAACTTTGAAATGTTTGTCAAACAAATTGATAGAATTATAAATTGCTATGGTGTTAATGACTTTATGACTATTTTAAATATTTACTTTATATTAGTAATGAATCTGTTTTCATTAGATTATGGTTTCTAGCCCTGGTGTATTTTCCTGCTGGACTATGGTCTTTTTAAACTTTGTTTGTTGAACTATTTATTTAGTGAGCCATTCATTCTTTGACTATAATGTAAATTTAAAATATGTTATCTCAAAAAATAATACATAAATATATGTATACATATATAATAAAATACAGAAATATTAAATTGAACATTTTAAAAATAAAAAATTAATAATAATTGCACATATTTATAGGCTACAGTGCATTATTTCAATACATATATATAAAATGTGTATTTATCCAATCAGGGTAATCAATATTTCCCCTTCTTTGAAATGTTTTTGTGATTGGAACTTTGCAGCTCCTTTGTTCTATTTGCTCACAAAATATGTCAGTTTATTGTGAACTATAGTTACTCTACTATGCCGTGTAACGTTAGCAACTTATTCCTTTGATCTAACTCTGATTTGATGTTCATCATCCAGACTCCCTCTAACCTTTTTTTGTGTGTGTGTGCCAAAGCGTCATGTCTCTGTTTTATTTTTAATTTTTTAATTCAAATTCCGGGGGCCATCTGCCCGAGCGTCATGTCTCTTATTTCTTTATTTATTTAATCTGAGCAAGCACGGGTCACCGCTTGAAGCGGTAGGTGATGGGCAGCAGCAGCTAGCTCTTCTTGAGCGCCTGCACCTTCTTGAGCGTCTCGTCGTCCAGGGCCAGGAAGCAGCGGCGCGAGTACTCGAGCAGGCGCTCCTTGGAGAGGTCGAACTCGGCCACCTCGGCCAGCTTCTCGGGGCCACGATGAGCAGCTCGGCGATGGGCGTGGTCAGCGCCACGGTGTTGCGGTCCACGCGGTGGTGCTCGAAGGCCCGAGACATGCTCTTGAGCTTCTGGAAGGTGCCCAGGATCTTCTTGTAGCGGCACAGCCGTCGGCGTCCTTCACCCGCTGCCGCTCCCCGGCCTTGGGCTTCCCGAAGCGCCTCCAGCCGGCGCCTGCCCGCGGCCACTGCCTCTTCCACTTGCTGGCGCTGCCTTCCTCGGACGCGGCACTGAGCTACGAGGCGGCCGACTCCAGGTCCGAGGCCTCGCCTCTAGGTCCGAGACCTCGCATTCCGCGCCACCGCGGCTGTCCCCCTCCGCCCCCCGGGGCCCCGGCTTGGCCCGGCAGTGGTCCTCTGCGTCCACGCGCGCGGAGATGAGCTTGTCCAGCTGGCAGCGCAGGAAGTCCCGCTCCTCCTCCAGGTCCTTGATGTGCTTCTGCAGCCATGAGTTCCTCTCCAGGGCCAGATGCAGCTGCGCCTTGACGCTGTTCATCAGGGCCAGGTTGGGCGACGCGGCCTCCGCGGGCTCCTGGAAGCCCGCCTTCGAGGAGTTCAGGCTGTAGAGAGCTGCGAGTCTCCAGCTTCTAGTAACCACTATTCTGTGTTCACATTGGTTTTTTTCTTTGTTTTTGGGTGTTTGTTGTTGTTGTTGTTGTTAAGCTTCCACATACGGAGGTGAACATGCAGTATTTATCTTTCTGTATTTGGCTTATTTCACTCTACCATGACATCCTCCAGTTCCATCCATGGCAGGATTTCATTCTTTATTGTAGCTAAATAATATTCCATTTTGTGTGTGTGTGTGTGTGCTCGTGCGTGTATCTTTGCCCAGTCATCTGATGATAGATATCTTGGTTGATTCCATATCTTAGCCACTGTGAATCATGCTGCAGTTAACATGGTGGAGTAGGTATCTCTTTTATATAATGATTTCATGTCTTTTGGATATGTATCCAGTAGTAGGATTCCTAGAGCACACAGAAGACCTGTTTCTAGGTTTTAGAAGAATCTCCATCCTGTTTTCCATACTGGCTGCATTAATTTACATTCTTATCAATAATGTAAAAGAGCTCTTCCTTCTCTACATCCTCCCCAGCATTTATTACTTGCTATTATTCTAACAGGGGTGATATGATATTTCATATTTCATATGATATTGTATTTGATTTACATTTCCCTTTTGATTAATAATATTGAGCAGCTGACCCACCATATGTGTATGATACATGATTTTTGTTTTAATCTACAAAGAATTGGGGCGTGTTATCACATGCATTGTAACTACTACTGACTGTTAATGTAGATATGAGGACACATAGAAAAAAGGACAAGAGAAGACGAAAGAAATTGCAAACTATCTTTAACATCTACTCTCTTTTTCTCATTGGCATGCTGGTTTTTTGTAAAGTGAGGCAACAATCCACTAGTGACTGACAATCCAGCATCTGACATATGACTTTACTACTTCCTGGCTTTGGATTAGTATGTTTGAATCTGAAAAGTGAAAATAATGGTGAGTAGCTATTTGGAATTGAGAATACAAAGAAGTTTAAGCATCTGAATTCAAAAAAATGGGAAACATAATCATCATTGTCATCATAAGTACTTATAGCAGCAATAGAAGTAATAGAAGTTCTGATCTGCTCATCTTCTACAATATCTCACTCTACTTCCATCAAAAGCTTATTACATTTTCTCCCCCATGGGAGACCAGGAAAAGCACCTGGCTCCTGGCTCCTGCCATCGGATCAGCGCGGTGCGCCGGCCACAGCGCGCTGGCCGCGGCAGCCATTGGAGGGTGAACCAACGGCAAAGGAAGACCTTTCTCTCTGTCTCTCTCTCTCTCACTGTCCACTCTGCCTGTCAGAAAAAAAAAAAAGCTTATTGCATTTTCTCATAAGGTTCTTGAAATATCTATTAAAAATTCAGTGACAAAGGAAGATTTTCAAGGAATAGTTGATGAAAATTTCTTTGAAATGCAAGATTAGTTTCTCCTTTATCTCAGTAATATCTTGCATTTCTATTTACCCCAGGTCTAGATTTATAAAGAAAGATAGAAGAAATATTGGAGTGGATCTTCTTTATCTAGTGGGAAGTCAGGACCACATGTCCCAGAGTCTGAAAGAAAGTGGGCAAACATAGTTAGAAAATTAATAATGACACAGTTACGTAATGAAAGATCTAAACTGTGTTCACAACTCTATGGGGGAATATTAGTGGCAAGTTATACTGTGGATCTTGAAAGATATGCTGAATCTCGACCACATTCTATGATTTCCCCAATATTAGAAACATTAATCACCCATGGAAAACCAGGAAACCGAGTTCTACTTGTTTTAGAGGTAGAGAAGAGTGTGAATCAGAGAAAAGTGAGATGAGTCAGGAACAATGAAGCCAAGCTTGTCATCTAGTACTGGAATTTTTGCTGGAATAATTATATGTTGGATAGGAAGCGTAACTTCTTCTTGACTTTCTACTGGCGATGTAGGCAGGGAGGTAGAAAAGATGAACTGAGTCAAACTCCACTTTGACTATGACCTTATCTAAATAAGATCGAAGTTGGCGAGCTCAGGGGGCTTCCATGGCCTTGGCAACTCATGACTAGAGCCTGAGGAGATGACTGACACCTTAAACAAGAGTCAATTTGTTAAGTCAACAACAGGAGTCACTGTGCACTTACTCTTCATGTAGGATCTCTGTCCTTAATGTGCTGTACATTGTGATTTAATGCTATAACTAGTACTCAAACAGTATTTTACACTTTATGTTCTGTGTATGTACACACTGTTAAAAATCTTTACTTAATATGTACTAAATTGATCTTCTGTATATAAAGATAATTGAAAATGAATCTTGATGCGAATGGAATGGGAGAGGGAGCAGGAGATGGGAGGGTTGCCGGTGGGAGGGAAGTTATGGAGGGGGGGAAGCCACTGCAATCCATAAGCTGTACTTTTGGAAATTTACATTTATTAACTAAAAGTTAAAAAAAGAAAAGATGAACTGAGTACTGTACCAACCAAACTGTATCCAGTTCCATGCCCATTCAACATGACTGCAGGTTCAGCACACCCACTCCCCATCATGCAGTTGAATCTCACTTCCCATCATGCACCAGGCACATGACACTTACTAGATTCCAACACATGCTCTGTAGCCATATGTACACAATATGCCATACTCCCAGAGATCATCACAGATGCTGCAGCACTTCCAAAAACTTTGCTTCCTTTGACTATTCAATTCATCCTTGCCTCAAGCACCACATCATCCTATAAAAGCATGAGTTTGAATTTTGTAAGTTGCAACATTCATTGTCTCTTAAGAATGCCTGCACTAGGCCGGCGCCGTGGCTCACTAGGCTAATCCTCCACCTTGCGGCGCTGGCACACCGGGTTCTAGTCCCGTTCGGGGCGCTGGATTCTGTCCCGGTTGCCCCTCTTCCAGGCCAGCTCTCTGCTGTGGCCAGGGAGTGCAGTGGAGGATGGCCCAAGTGCTTGGGCCCTGCACCCCATGGGAGACCAGGAGAAGCACCTGGCTCCTGCCATCGGATCAGCGCGGTGCGCCAGCCGCAGCGTGCTGGCTGAGGCGGCCATTGGAGGGTGAACCAACGGCAAAAGGAAGACCTTTCTCTCTGTCTCTCTTCTCTCTCTCACTGTGCACTCTGGCCTGTAGAAAAGGAAAACCAAATGGAAAAGAATTAAAAATGGCAGGGGGCTGCACTCCTGTGTATGTACTTTCCTTTTATCTTTAAATAAATCGCACTTTCCTGCTTCCCTTTATCATTATCTCCTCCTTGAATTCTTTCACACCTGGAGGCAAGAGACTGGAACAAGTCTATCAGGGGTGGGGGATCTCTCTCTAGACCCATACAGCACAGTTATTACTCTTGTACACCCACTTATTCTTATTCCTCCTCTTACTCTTCTGCTTCCCTTCCCCACCAATAAGTCTGCCTCAGACCATAAGAGCATTCACTAAGAACTTGCAATATAAAAGGTAATAATCACCTCTTTACCTCTTTCACCCTATCTTCCTGGGATAATGAATTTGTTTCAGAAGTGCCCGCTAGGAAGCTTCTTTTCCAACTTTTCTGTAATTCTTTGCAAATCAAGACCTGCAAACTATTTCAGAGGGAGTTTGACTTGGGATGACCAAGAAAGAATGTCAGGCTCTCTTTGTATCATGGTGTGGACTTAGAGAGGAATGGTGACAGCAGATGTCTAAGACTGTGAGGTTGCCCTGTAGCTGGTTCCTAGTGTCTTTGAACAAACTCGAGCTGTGATCAAGGAAACCTCCACTATACCTTAAGAAGGAGGGAACTTTACTTCTTAGGGTCATTGTAGGAAGATTCATCAGCTACCTCATTGTTTGCCTCTCCCTGGATAACATCCATGTGCCCATGTGGAAATGAGTGTGCACCTTCTTCATCAGTAATCACATCTGTTAACTTTTACAGGTGTTCTTCGGTTTAAAGTGAGGCACATTTTATGCTTCCCTTTTTGATGTGGTTGATAACCACACATAAATCTGTCTTGTTTAAACCTGATTCAAGGCATTTACTTACCCAGTAAGAGAAATATAAGCCTATAGCCAACTCAGTCCACCGACTGGTTGTTTCCAGTGTTAAATCTGCCATTTGACTGGCTGAGTAAACATTAGCTTTGCCTCTCCAACCAGACTCATTAATTCATTGAATAGCAGGATGATAGCCCTTCTTCAGAGAATCAGTATTTAATGGCAGTTGAGTTCAGACTTGTGCACACAGAATTAGCAGGATATCAGATATCCATTTCCTTAAAAGACTATAGCATCTCCTAGGAATGAGATACCAATCACCTTTGGGTACCACTAAGTTAACCCACAAAGGCAGAAGTGAGAGAAAATTCTGAGTAGTGTATGGTGTTGGTTGCTTAACACTGTCAGCCCAATGTTATAGATGTAGTAGGATCCAATGTCATGGAAATGTGATGATGGCATATCACCAGTGAAATTAGAAGAAGTTATTCTACTAGAATGCAAGTGCCAGAGTCAATGTGTTGGTATTTCATCTTCTCTCCTCAACCAACTTTGGCTCTAACTTAAGGAGCTCCAAGGTGACAGCAATAGGTGGTAATGCCTGGAAGCTACAGCAATAGGGATGGCTTCTAGTGGAACTCTGGTGCCTGGAAGACAGCTGTCAAGGAGAGGGAGCAAAAAGAGAGAAGAAAGGGAAATTCCCTAGGTGGCGAAATGGCCAACTCACATAATCTGTTTGTGGCTCCCATGGGGAGGCAGGAAAAAGAGCAAGTGAAAAAGTATGATTTTTGAGAACCAAGCCCTCTAGATATATTTTATCATTTAATCCTTAAAATAATCTTCTGACTTACCTACTAATATTTCCCCCACTTTCCAGATAAGATTTTTCAGGCTGATGCAATTCAAGTAAGTCATCCAGTGTCAGTTGACAACAAGCATAGGATCTAGATTTAAAACTTAAAGCAATCTGACAGCAGAGCCCTAATTTTCAGTAATTCCTTCATGTGTATCCTTACACTCATGAGAGCTGGAAAGACTAAGATTTAAATACTCCACTTAAATACTAAGACTTAAATACTAAATTTAAAGACTAAAGACTTAAATACTTATTAG